GAACCGCGCCGGCCTGAATCGCCTTTACTCTGTTTCTGAAACTCGAACAGAGAGTGATTAGAAGTTTCAATGCCGCTTTCGTGGCCTGTTGCGAGAACTGATCCTTCAGAACTTGAACGATTTCGATGAAGAATTCGGCGGTTACGCTAACGATCTGGATCCGATCGGCGACTTCGAAGATCGATTTCAATAGCATTACGGCGTAAGCGCGAGATCCGTAGGTTCCGTTCTGCAGGACTTTGATTAAGGACGCGACGAAGACGCCGCCATTGTTGCTGAGAAGAAATTTCAGTCCGGCTTCAGAGATTTGGAGTTTGTGAAGAATGCTCAAAGCCTCGTCGCCCAAATTTGCTAACTCGTCATCAAACGCATAATCTGTATTTAAAAAATAATAATCATAATAAAATTAGCTCTATTTTTATGATGGTTGAAGGTCATAGTTGGAAATTTTCGCAATAGAGGGGCAAATTTAACATCTCAAAATTTATGGATATATATTTTTTTTTTCTTCGTCGTAAGACCAATCTAAAGAGGTTTTAAAAACCGAGTACAAATTAATATATATCTCAAATTAATAGACTGAGTTCGATTCTTCACCCCACATGTTTGGTATATATCTCAAATCAATAAACTGAGTTTGATTCTCCACCCCACATATTTGATATATATCTCTAATCAAAAGGACGTGGATTCGATCCATTATTTCTACATATTGTATTAAAAAAATAGACTTTAAACAAATAACCTCTTAAATATGAATAATGCCGATGTGTTTACTACGATAAAAAAAATTGACAATTTTTTAGATTTTTCTCATTATTTTAGAAAAAAAAAATAATTAAGGTTTAAAATGATTCTGGGATTTACCTTGGTAGCTGGATTCCACGTTGATGGAATTACACACAACTCCGGCCAAGAACTCCACAACTCCAGCAGATTCCATGCAGCGTTTGTTTGTTTCATTCGCCGATGCAATGGATCGAAGTCGTTGGAGACATTTCTGTTGGGAGAACGGAGACAAATTCACATCGGCCAGAATCTTGACGACCTGCGTCCGGTCGACAGGAGGCTTCGGTGTCGGAAACCTCTCGACGCTGCCGCTACGAGCATTGAGAGTGCACCAAGCCTGAATCACTCGTCGAAGAGTATGGTTGGGAGTGAGATCGGAGTTCGACAAGACCACCTGTGTGACGGGGCACGTGGTATGTTTGTCGGAAAACAGCCACTTCTCAATGCTCTCCCGGTCGTAGGTTATGCCGGACGCCACCGTCACCGGATCTTTCATGATTTGCAGAGAGATGGGACAGAGAAAGAAAGGAGGAGTATCAACTTCAACTTGATTATCTTCTGCCATGGGAGAGAAAAATGAAGAAATAATAGAGAGAGAGAGTTGTTGGGAAAAGTTGTAAAAATGGGTTTGAATTGAAGCCGTAGAAGAAATAAGGGAGAACTTGGGGATTTATATATTATGCCAAAATTGGGTTGGCTGTTCAAATTGAGGAAGTCAAAACGCTGAAAAACAAAGATTATGAATAATGTGAAGGTGGTATTGCGGCTAGAAGTTATCTATATGGCCACCACAGCCTATGTTTTTATATTGGTCAAAATAGCATGAGATTCACGTGAGAAAATAACTATATTAAACTTATCGAGAAATTATTCGATATGATTGAAACAATATCGGTCAAGAATGCGGGAGAGAAACTAAAAGTAGTGTTATTTTTAATAGCAGATTAAATGGTAATAAGAGTGATACAATAATATAACTACGTAGGTATATTTGACGAGAAATTGAATATTGATGAGTCGGGTAGAAATTAATAAATTATTTATATTAATATTACAATTTAAATATTGGGTTTCCAAAAAAAAATCAAATAAATGAAAAGTCAGCACTCCGAATCAAGATTTATGCGGTACCCTATCTATGTCAAATAAAATAATACGGACAAAAAGTAACAAAACAACGGTACAACAAACTGCTCTTCTTGTAGTTGGATCTCCAAGTTTTTGGAATGCCTCAAATTCTACTTGAGCATTCAAATCTGGGTTTGAAATTCATTTATTTCTCTCATGGTTAAGTTGTTTTGGTTTTGGCGCATTTCATGTAACATGATTATATGGACTAAGATTATGAATATCCGATCCTTATGGACTAATCGAAAGGATACAAGCTGTAAATCTGGGTGGGGTGTCAAGAATTTGATCCTTTTTTTCCGGGCGTGTAGAGATCTTGCAACAAGTTCTACACTAGTTTAAAGTGTTAGTTAATTAATTACTTTTTTTTTTCCAACACTCTCCGCTTTCTTTGATTTTGTTTCTCACCTAAAATTACATCTGAATTTGAAGTCAAGCTAAGAATATGAATTTTTTTTGTTCATGACTGAAATATCGATGGAAATATTGACACATGCGGAATTTGGTCCGTCGGGTTTTTCTCATTTCCGCTAGATTTGGCACACGTTTTTTGAATGGGACAATTCCGGCTGGGGAAAGACGGCGGCAGAGAAAAGGATAACGTAATGACGCATTACATAATTGATAATTTCGTTGTTTTTGTTTAGGAGCTGCCTTTTCTTTTCCCTCCAAAGAGAAAAAAAAAAAACAAATTGGTGGGAAATAGTCAACGAAAATGATCGTAG